AGAACCCTGTGGGTCTCACCCACTGAGCTCTCAGAGACCAGAGGCAATGTTTTATTCCTTGTTGTGCACACAGACCAGGTTCCAGTACACAGCACTCACTCAGCTGACCTGGGTCAAGTTTCCCCAGGGAAGAGGAGGAGGGCCAGCCAGCGGTAGCAAGTGTAATGGGGGGTGTTCTTATAGCAAAGTCCATCTCTCCCTTGCAGGGAATTTCCCATCACTGGTGGATACACAGAATGCCCGCTGCCACGATCCAAACTGATGGACAGACCAGCCAAGAAGAGAGCAGGGCAGAATGTCCCCTTCCTGGGAGCATCCCCTGAGAGAGAGAGAAAGGGAACGAGGAACAAGGGACAGAGCTCCTGGCTTATTAGTGCCCTGGCTGGTGGGCTCTTGCATTCCCAACCCCTCCATCCTGCTCGTTAACCAGGGCTCCCGAAAGCAGCCTGCCATATTGTATCACTGTTTAAATCCCATCACATCTCCCTGCTGACTCATCCCAAAGTATCCATTGGCTGGCTCAGCACAATTACCTCAGTCCCCAAACTCCTAGCCTGGCAGTGCCTGGCTCTCCTGCTGCCAGGGGAGAGGTGGTGTACCATTCAGTCGTGGGGGGCGACATGAGAGAGTCAAGCATTCAGCCCAGCACAGCCCGTTTACCCAGAACCACCCTTCCTGTTCACACACTCATTTTCCATCAGGGTCATCATCATTGTCCTAGTGACCCAGGCGTACGACTCAGAATCTTCTATTGATTCATTCAAATACTTAGCCAGCACCTACTTTGGGCCAAGCTTTGTGCTAAGCCCTGATCCTGCCCTTTAGCTCCGTGGTAGAAAAGCTATACCTAAGTGCCTGTACAGTGCCAAGCATCGAAAAAGCTCTTAAAGAATGCTTGTTAGATGGACAAATGAATGGCGAGAAGAATGGATAGATGGGTGGATGGATGGATGGATAGATCGATGGATAAATGAATGGATGGGTGGAGGGAAGGAGAGAGGGAGGGAGGGAGGGATGAAGGGACGGGTGAGATGGTGAAATCTGTCAGTTATGTCTCTTCCGTATCCTGTACAGTGTACACATTCCCTGTGATTAGGTGGGCTGAACTTGACCCCTCACATTCTCCACCCTTGCCACGTGTCCCCCGCCTAGCTAATCAGACTATTCCAAACTTCTGGCCTCAGAAATTGGTTTCAGGCATGGACAAGTAACACAAGCCAGATCAGAGTTCTCCGGGGAGGGGAGAGGGGAGCGGCTTTTTGGGTTCCTGCCAGTAGTAAACAATCTCTCTTCCCTGGGTTGCTAAGTTGCTAGGATGTTTATTTAAGGCTGCTGGAGGCTCTTTACTTGCCACAAGGAGAGAGCCTGACTGAAGGATGGAAGATGAGAGGTGGGAGAAGAGAAAAAGAAAAAGAGAAAAATAGGAGGAAAGAAGGAAAGGAGAAGGAAGACAGAGACTTGGGGGGCACAATTTAAGCCCCCAGTGTGGGAAGGCAGTAGGACTCTTGGACTTTTCCAAGGAACATGTGCCAATGAATTTTGTTTCTCTGACTTAAGACAGCTTGAGTTGTGTTTCTTTTACTTGTAACCAAGAGCATCTTGTCAGTGCAGAGGGAGGGAGTGAATAAATGAGTGAATGCATGGTTGAATGAAAGAATGAGCTCCATAAATATCAAACTCATCAGTGTTTTTTCCTCCCTTGAGAGCTAGACTTGCAAATATAAGGATTTAATTAGATGTTCCTGGTTTCTACCGGGGCCTGTCTAATTGCTTCTATTTTGCCCCGTGTTGATTTGAACTCCTGAAGTGTAACTGAAAAGTGGAAAACAGCCCACTAAAATGGATGTATTTCTGAGGCAGGCATTCAACTCTGACTGCAGATTTTAGTCTTTAGGAGTTATTATAAAGGGAGGACCGAAACGAAAATTAATAACATTTAAAATTCCCCCAAAGGCTTCTTCCTTCCCCTCCCAGCTCCATTCAAGCCAAAGAAGTAAGAGCAAGTGGGCATGCAAATCTGACCACATGTACATATTCTCCCACTTCCCCTCGCCCCACCTTCCAGAACTTTCTCTCCATCCAGAACTTTTTCAGAGCTCCTCAATGATTGACAACAAGCACAGCCTGAGGGTTCATGGAAGGCTTCCCAGGTGAGGTGATGCCTACCTGCTTCAGTCATCAGAAGTAGAGTCTGGCCCTAGTTGATTTGGCTCAGTGGATAGAGCATCAGTCCGTGGACTGAAGGGTCCCTGGCTCAATTCCCGGTCAAGGGCTCCCCCCGTCAAGGGCTCTGTCCACTGAGCCAAATCAGCTAGGGTCAAACTCTACTTCTGATGACTGAAGCAGGTAGGCAGGGATGGGTCATAGAAGAAGACTGAAATGTGGACTTTGTGTGAGGCTGCCATGGCTCACATCCTACATGCTCACGTGACACATTGTGACCTGCCTCAAACAGCTGCTTTCCCAGGCCTCCAGGAGGACCCCATCCGATGTCTGGTCCTTGAAGAGGGATGACCATCACATCTGATGCCAACCACAGCAACACTGAGGGAAGATGTCTAAAGGCCAGGAGTTGCGGGTAAAGGAGCTAGGGCCACTGTTTCCTTCTTTTCAAGTGCATACCCCAAATATATTTCTTCCCTTTTTTAAAGAGCTGAGTTCTCTATCCCATCTGCCCATAGGGTTAGCCTGGGAGGGATTGGAATAAGCTCTTTCCTTCCCACCCTGAATTCCTCTAGCTAACTCTGAGACTGACCTCAAGACTCATCTGAATTTAACTCTGGTTTGCTCCTCAGAATATTCTTGTTACATTAATTTAGGGAGCATAATAAATCTAGATTGAGATATGTTTGCTGCAAATGCTAATTTGCTCGATGAGAATATCAATTAGATGTCTGAGGCATAGAAATTATGGCTGCCAATGATCTCAAAGGTCATTCTTAGCTTGTACCGAAGGAAGAGGATGAGGGTTATCTGCTGGAAGGGTCTGGGGTGGAGGGGTAAAGGTCCAAATATTAAATACCAATGAAGTGTCAGGCACTGTGCTCAGGACTGAGAATTCAGGAGTTTCAGAGATCTCAGAAATCAATCCATAGACCTGGATGATAATAATAATGATAATAACAATAACAATGACAGTAACTTTTGCACATTGAACAATTACTGTGTATTAGATACAAATATTAATGCATTTAACCCTTGCAACAGCTCTCTGAGTACTACTATTATTCTCATTTTATAGGTGAGGAAATTGAGTTGTAAAGAATTTAAATAACTTTCCTGGCTTCTGCTTCCGGCCAAACTGGAGAAACAGGGATCAGATGTACTCTCCTTGCTGAAACAAATGAAAAACAAACAAACAACAGCTCTCTAGATATTGGATAACAGTCAACAAAGGACAGGGATCCCTGAGAGCCGGGAAAGCAGTGAGGTGAGTCTCGGCCATGCTCCAGCTTACTGCCCGGAGAAAGTTTTCCGTCCACAGGGCAGATGGGGGAGTCCAGGCAGAAGCCAGCACACTCCTGGAGCTGAGGAAGCGGAACTGGGAGTCCAAGGAAGCCAGGTGGGTAGAGTTTGTAGGGCAGAAGTCCAGGGAGAGAACTCTGGAGCTCCACTGAGGGTCACTCACCAGAATCCAGTTACCGACCAGTGCACATAGGTGAGGAAACTGCCAAGAGCCAGGGGGGAAAGCCACCCGAGAGAATCAGAAGGAACACTGCTGAGAGTTCACGCAAGACTGGGAAGGAATGGTGCCTGCTCTAAACAGCCAGCATGGAAAACTCTCATAATTTGTGGCGCATCATTTAAAGGACCAAGAAGGCATTGCCTCATTAGTGGAGAAAATTAACTAGACTAAATGCTGCTCTGGTTGTGCCTAACAGAACTTAAAAGACAGCCTTGGAAGGATCGAACTGCTTCCGAGTAACTGAACCACATCCCAGAAAAACAGCTCAAAACTATATTTTAAAAATATCTAACTAGGACCTGGCCAGACAAAATGGATGAACTAAATGTGTACAAAGTTAAAGTGATGTGCAATTTCTTATTTCTGGTTATATGTGTACTAAACCACAATGGTCCCTATTCAAATTTACTTATTTGTTGGTTTGTTTAATACAACAATGCCCAGCACACAACATGGCAAAATTGACAATGTCTGGCATCTACTAAAAAATAACTAGGCATGCAAAAGCTGAAAAAATGAAGAGGAAAATTAATCAAACCTGATCCAGAAGTGACCTAGATGATACAACTGGTAGATATGGGCATTGAGACAGTCTTTGCAACTTTATTCCTTGTGTTTTAGAAAGTAGAGGACAAACAGACATATTCAATAGATACTAGGAAGATACTTTTAAAAACACCCAAACTGAAGTTGTAGGGATGAAAACTACAATGTCAGACACACACATAAAATACATCAGATGAGATTCATGGCCTGTTAGACATCGGAGAAGATTGGTGAGCTTGATGGCACAGCGATAGAAACGATCCAAAACCAAACCAAGAAAACAAGCTAATCTGGTCTGACATGAAGCAGGTCAGGGGATTCCTGGGGATGAGGGTAACTGGGAGGGGCGGGAGGGGCAGGAGAAACTTTTAGACGTGATGGATGAGTTCATTACCTTGCTTGTGGTGATGGTTTCACACATACCTACACACAACATTGTACACTTTAGACATGTGCCGTTTACATTATGTCAACCATACCGCCACAAATCTGTTCCAAACAAGTGTGCAAAGGTCGTACAGCTAATACATCCCAGTCTGGCTCCAGATGCTACACACTTTCTACTGCAAAGTAGGTATTATGATTCCCATTTTATAGATGAAAGAGAGTCTGAGAGAGGAATGTGACTTCTCCAAGGCCACACAGCTGGTAAGTGGAAGAACTGGAATTCACATCAATGTCTGTTTTACTGCAAGTTGGGTGCTCCCTCTGCCCCACTCCCTAAGTATTTGCTATTTATTTGAAGCCTGTGGACAGCATGCACACTCACGATTCTGAGTCACCTCCTCGTTCCACAGCTCCTGCTCCAGATGCAAAGCCCATCCTGGACTCCCAGTCCTCACCCATGGATCGTTACTCAGCTGCTTATCTTCTATACCTAGAAACGTGGGAACAAATCGATTTGTAAATGCCTAGGACGCTCAGGGCTCAGTAATTGCCAATGCATCTTTGTGAAGTGAGAGCTTGCTGGGCACGTGGAAGGCAGCCCCTGCCCGTCTTAAAGAAATAGGTGCTCTTGAACAGACCCATCAAACCTCAGAGGGAAGGCGGGGGTGGCGTGGGGGAGGGCGCGTAAGGGATCAACCGAACGACATGTATGCATGCATATGAGCATAATGGACACAGACACTAGGGTGGTGAGGGCATGTGCTGGGGGGTGGGAGGGGCCGGGGAGAGGTCAATGGGGAAAAAAAGAGACATATGTAATACTTTAAACAATAAAGATCTAAGGAAGAAGGAAGGAAGGAAGGAAGGAAGGAAGGAAGGAAGGAAGGAAGAAGGAGGAAGGAAGGAAGGAAGGAAGAAAGAAAGAAAGAAAGAAAGAAAGAAAGAAAGAAAGAAAGAAAGAAAGAAAGAAAGAAAGAAGAAAGAAAGACGCTCAGAATCAGACCAATGGACTGACATGCATGCACGCAGCCCTTAGCATCTAGGGAGCCTTTTCTCCTCTCTCGTGTCTTCGTAGCAATCTTCTCACTCCTGTTTTTAGATGAGGCAACTGATGCTGAAACTGGTTATGAGGCATTACCAAAAACATAATATCTGAGCCTGCATTCAAACTCATCCTTGTGGGCGGAGGGACGTCTCTTTGAATTCTAGATCTCATTTAGGTTACCTCAGAGTGACATGTCACTACATTTTTTTAATTATAGGCATCAACTTTATACAGTCAGAGCTATTAAAACAAAACAAGCCCAGCCATCTGGGTTCTTGGAGTGGGAGGGGGGTTCCTATTACAAAGGGGGAGGGGTCAGCAGAGGCCAGATGGCTGCTATGAAGAATTGTGCAAAGGAGACCCTTGCATGGGGTGGGGGCCAGCCCCAACAGCTTCTGAGGTCCCTTCCTGGCCTGGTGGTCGCTGAATGAAGGGGTGCTAAGCTCACTGCTTAGAACCCTGGTGCTGTAACACGGGAGGTTGTGGGAGAGGGATCTCTGTGCTTTCCTGTCCCGATGAAGTCAGCATTTCTCAACCACTGGACTGTCTACACGCAGAGCAAAGCCTTAATCACTATGTAAAACAATTGTGTTAGGACCGAGAAAAGATGCTGCAGACTGTCTGCTGGATGGAGCGTGGAGTGGTTAGGAGACGCAGGGCAGAGCAGGCCACAACTCCTCCTGCACTCCCTTCATGGAAATCTGAATGTTGTGGCATAAAACATACTGATTAAGCTTTCATTCTGTGGGGAAAATCGGAAACAATACAGATTCTCCTAAATTGGAAAAAAAAAAAAAGCATCATGGAGAACCGGAGAGGGGCCGGAATGAGCTGTATCTGGGTTTACATGATTGATTCGCGGCTATGCCTCTTAGGCAGTGTACGAAGGCACCCCTTCTCCTCGGTCAGGGTCTGTCTTGAATCAAGCAAGGTCTTCAGAACCCACGTCTCTTGTGTTTCCCTGTTAGGAGGTGAGAAGCAAAGGGCACCATCAAGCCAGCTCCAATGAGGTGCTGAGTATTTTCTGGAACGTGGGAGAAGTTGGTCTCCAGAGCAGCTTGGTCCAGTAGAAATATAATGTGAACTACACATGTAACTTTACATGTTCTAATTATATTAAAATATGTAGAAACAAGTGAAATGAATTTTAATAATATATTTTATTTAACCCAATATAGCCATAATGTTATTTCAACATGTAATCAATAGAAAAAAAATAGTAATTTTTGAGAAATTTTACATTCTTTCTTTCAGATTAAATTTTCAAAATCCTGTGTGTAATTTACAATTACAGCACCTCTCAATTCAGAATGGCCACATATCAAGTGCTCAGTAGCCACATGTAGCCAGCGGCTACTGTATTGGACAGCTCAGGAATAGAAGAATATCTAAGGGGCATGGTCAGAGCACTGAAGCTTACTTGGTAGGGGCATAGTTGTATGGGTGGTTCATTCGGGAAATAGTGTGATATTTCCTTTAATGATGCTCTAAGACAGTGGTTCTCAACCTTGGCTGCACATTAGAATCACCTGGGAATCTTTTTAAAATCCTGATTTCTGGGCCTCATCCTCGGGAAGTTTGGTTCTTTGTTACTAATGTTGGGCCCCCACCCCCATAACAAAGAAACAGAATTTCGGGAGGATGAGGCCCAGAAATCAGGATTTTAAAAAGATTCCCAGGTGATTCTAATGTGAAGCCAAGGTTGAGAACCCTGCTCTAAGATCTTCTCCCACCCTGGCAGCCATCTACCATAATTACTTTATCTGATCATTTTAAGTATTTTAATCCTTTCAAGTGGCCTGTTCCAAACTCCAGTATTCAAAGGCATCTTCTCACACAAGGCTGAGAACCACTGAATAAATATTGGACTAACCACAAGTCAGTTAACCTTTTTTTAAAATCCTCACCCTAGGATATATTTTTCCATTGATTTTGAGAGAGAGAGTGGAAAGGGGCAGGAGGGAAGGAGAGAGAGAGAAACAGAGAAACACTGATGTGAGAGAGACACATTGACTGGTTGCCTCCCACATGTGTCCTGACCAGGGTCAGGGATTGAGCCTGCAACCGAGGTATGTGCCCTTGATCGGGAATCAAACCTGAGACCCTTTATTCCAAGGGCCGACGCTCTGTTAGGACGCACTGAACACACTGGCCAGGGCTCATCTTTGCTGCTTGACCCCAGTCCCAGATCCCAGTCCAGGTTCTCTACACACATTTCAGGGCTCCTCTAAGGCATGAACATCCAGTGCATGTGGCTCTGGGGGAGGCGTGGAGGCATCAGCCAAACAATCATTATTTCCTTCTGTCACGAATGCAAATGCAATGGAGCTTGTGTTTATTTTACAGAATGTGCAAAAAGGAATCATTTCAGAGGAACTTTCAAGCTGCCAGAACAGGGCAGTCTGTCCCCAATCAATTATCACAAGGTGTGCAGGCACCCTGATTGAGAATTTGCCTAGAGGAAATTGCACCGAGGGAGAATCCATCCTGTAGCCTGTTTCACTCTGTCCTGCTCAGAATCAGATTATTTTCCTCCCATTTGAATGATAGGTTATTATTATGTACCTGGGGAAAGATGTGAGGCAACTGAACGTGGGCGTTGTCTAATTACTTCACTCAATGCAAGTTAATGAAGAGCCACCAGAATAGCTATGCTCAATCTCCTTTACTTAAACAACCAACAGCGTGTCCAAGTGCTGAGTTCTCAAAGCAGAGTCTGCTATGCTTCAGTGACAATTTTCTTGGGCTTTGGAGTGAAGTACACCTGCATCACATCCGAGTTTTCCTGGTTACGCTCTATCTTTTTCCATCGGTTATAATCGTGGCTGCCCAACAAGAGATTAACTGAGGTCATATCAGTAACTTTAAAAAATAAACATATTTTTATTGATTTCAGACAGGAAGGAAGGGGGAGAGAGAGAGAGAGAGAAACATCAATGATGAGACAGAATCATTGGTAGGCTGCTTCCCACTGGGGGCATATGCCTTTGACCGTAATCAAACCCAGGACCCTTCAGTCGGCAGGTGGACGCTCTATCCTCTGAGCCAAACCAGCTAGGGCCATAGCAGTAACTTCTTGGCAAACAGAAGGTGTTCAGTAAATACATCCCCTTTCCAGCTGCCAAGCCAGAATTCCCTTCCCAAACTGATCTTTCTAGTAACTGCTGAGCATTTTCCAACTGGCCCAGCAGGTGATAAACTTGAGGACCCTATACAAATCATGACCAACTTGATCACAGCAACCCCAGAAAGGCTTTCCACAGGCTGGTAGCCAACAATCAAACCACCACCAAACCAGAGGCTTTTCTGCTCCTGTCCCTAAATTAGTGGTAAGATACTATCAGCTCCCGTAACTTTAATGTCAGTCTTTTCCTCAAGGCAGGGTGGTCAATCAGAAAACAATGAGGAGTTAATGGGAGCTGCATGTGAAGATGTGTATTACTGATGAAAGCCTTGAAATAAGAATTGCAGAAGTGGAATAGTTGATTAGCAGAGCCTGCACTTTAAAAGACTTTTGGAACATATTGTAACAATGAGCTCAGGAATATTCCACCAGCAGTGGATGAAAGTGCCCCTTTCTTCACAACCTCATTGGAACCAAGTGTTGCCATTTTTTATGTTTAAGGCTTCGTTGGACAATTTATATATTTCTTGGCCATTTGTACGTATTCTTTTTTGTTTATGTTTTTAGCCTGTTTTGAGGTGTTTAAGATTTTCCTTATTGGTTTATAAAAGATGTTTGTAATATAGATATATTAACTCTTTGTAATATAGATATATTAACTCTTAATCATCAATATATATAAATGCCTAAGCAACCAGTCAACCAGTAGCTATGACATGCACTGACCACCAGGAGGCAGACGCTCAATGCAGGAGCTGCCCCATGGTGGTCATTGCGCTCCCACAACGGGAGCACCACTCAGCGGACCCACAGGCGCCAGATGCTGGGCTCATGGCTGGCAAGTGCAGCCTCGCCCCTCGGACACTCCCCCTGCACACCCCTCCCCCATCTGAACCAGGACCGGGATTGGGACCAGCTTTAGGACTGACTGGGTATGAGCCTGTGGCTGCTTCTCGGTCATGGGCGCGCCAGTATGGCCCTAGGATGGGCACGCAGAGACCTCAGCAGAGAGGCAGCTAGCCTACTCAGCAGTGGCAGCGGCAGGCGCAGCAGGCCGGAATGAGCGGGAACAGCGCAGTGCCTGGCCTGGGCTTGGTCTCGGGCTCCTCCGGCCACCTACCCCTTGGCACTACTACATCCCTTGGGGGTGTCGGAGAGCTGGTTGATCCCTGCAGGCCAGGCCAAGGGATCACTGGTGCACGAATCTGTGCACCAGGCCTCTGGTATATATATAACAACTGTTGGGTTTATCCCCCCAGTATGTTATTTGATTTTTAAGGTTTATTATTCTGCTTTTCAAAATTGTCCAAAAAGTAATGAA